CTAGAGATACATGTGTACATGTTCAAAATGGCTTCTGAAAGAGTCCCCCGTTGCAGCCTTGTTTTTAACAGCAAAAGACTGAAACTCAAATGTTCCTGAACAGCAAACTGATTAAATAATTTATGGTATATCATAAAATTGAATTAATAAAAGAAAATTTTAAAAAAGAAGCAGCACACTTCCTACAGATGATAAAGATCCTCAAGATGTATGAAGCGAAGAAAGTCAGATGTGAACAGTGTGCATAATAGGTGGCTTTTTAAGTGAGAAAGAGATCCCAAATTATATTTATATTTATTTTTTCTTTCTGAGGCATAAAAATTCTGGAACCATGTGAAAGAAGTAAGAAAAGTCTATAAATCACATGACTGTATTATCTATTCAAAAATGAAACTAGAATTACTATCTCATTCTACAATTGTTTAACATGCAATGGCGCCTGGATGGGTCAGTGAGTTAAGCATCTGACTCTTGATTTCAGCTCAGGTCATAATCTTAGGGTCATGAGATCAAGCCCTTAGTTGGGCTCCACTCTGGGCTTGGAGTCTGCTTGGGATTCTCAGTCTCTCCCACTGCCTCCTCCCCCTCTCCCATTGCATAGTCATTCTCTCTCTCTTTCTCTCTCTCTCTCTCTCTCTCTCTCAAAAAAAATTTTTTTAATACCAAAAAAGTGTAAAACAGTCCCCCACCCCCATCCTATTTCCTCCTCCCTGAGTGCCAAGTAACACACCGACTTAAATTTGCATCAAGATACACCTAAGATTAGATTCTTCCATAAGAATCGCCTGTGAGAGGAGGAGGTAAAGGTAGAGGGAGCAGAGATTACAAGTCTTGAGAATTCCAAATGCCTGAAAAAGTGAGACAAGGGGGTGCCATGCTAGAAAAAAAGACGTGTGAGGGAGAACAAGGCACCTAAGAGGATCTTTACCTGCTTTATAATATTGCAGCATATTTAAAATCCATGGATAATGTGTTGGGCCATTCATCACAAAGATGCAATTTCTTTAGGTGTTTTTTTTTTTTTTCAGTAACCTTGACATGGCCATTAGTTAATCAGAAGCATAGGCAGAGTTTTCTAGAATTGCAATATTAATAAACTTGAGGTTTGTGGTTCCTTGAAATATTCCCCTAGGTGTTTCATAAAAACTGGCTCTCCCTTAAAACTGAAGGTGAATGTGTCTGGACTCTCTGGCAACTTACCAACCGATGAAGCCTTCATCTGAAGAATATTGATAGATGTATCTATTCGAAACTTGGTGTTTGGCCAATATCTGTGGATTCAAGAACATTAACTATTGCTACCCAGCCAGCACAATCCTAGGAAACCATGGCCTATCAGAGTAATAGATTCCCTCACACTTCCCACTTTACATCATTTACATTCTTGAAGATTCCTTCATGATCTTAAAAGATTTTCTTAAAGGGGCACCTGGGTGGCTCAGTCAGTGGAGTGTCGGCCTTTAGCTCAGGTCATGATCCTGGGGTCTGGGATGGAGCCCCAGGTCAGGCTCCCTGCTCAGCAAGGAGCCTGCTTGTGTCTCTTCCTCTGCCCCTACCCCTGATCATGCTCTGTCTCTCAAATAAATAAATTTTTTTAAAATTTCTTTAAAAAGAAGAAAGTTTTCTTTTAAAAAGAAGAAAGTTCTTCAAACAACCAGAGATATGTTTTTTAAAAAAAATCAGCAATTCATGTTAAGAAAAAAATAGCTTATTCTTTCTGAAAGTTGCTCACTTAGTTCACCAATAAAACTGTGCAAGTAGGGGATCCCGGAGTGGCGCAGCGGTTTGGCGCCTGCCTTTGGCCCAGGGCGCGATCCTGGAGATCCGGGATCGAATCCCATATCGGGCTCCCGGTGCATGGAGCCTGCTTCTCCCTCTGCCTGTGTCTCTGCCTCTCTCTCTCTGTGTGACTATCATAAATAAATAAATTTAAAAAAAAACTGTGCAAGTAATGAAGTAGCATACAACCAAAATGGGAGTGGAAACAGTAAGTAAATGGAAAGTCTCTTAATTTGCCTCTTTACTAGGCTCAGGAAATCTTTGGAGAGCAACATGGAAGACACTTGCTGATAATCTTAGATCAAAATCCACATCATAGGACACCAGGCTACTGGTTTTAATTACACAAAACAAATTTCCATCACCACTAGTGTTCATCCTGGAGTTAAGAAAGAAGATTTATCATTTGCCCTCTGGTATAAATTCTTCCTTTCCTCTTGTCAATAAAACCTCTTATTATATTCATTTTCTTCTACCACAAACATCTCTGACATTTCTCATGACTTTCTGGGGAATATGCGTGTCACTTCACAGAAGAGGGAAGCCTAGCATCATCCGTCCTTAGCGTATGACCTCAGACCACAGGGAAGGAGACACGGGGAGTGTCATTCCCACAGATGGCCTGGAAAACCCTTGGCTAATGACTGTACACGTGAAGTTATGGCAGGTGTCATAGCCTCTGGTTTTTCATTAATATTTCTGTGTGGAAGCCTCCCACCACCCATCTGTCCACACGTCAGCCTCTACTACTCATCAGAAGAAACTCTTGACCTTGGCCATGGAGTGTGACAGCCTTGACATTACTGTTATTCTTTAGTAAGAGAAGTCAGATTCTGGTCCTGACAAAGGGTAAGGATGAGAGCTGGACTGGAGCCTTCCTGGCCATTGGGTGGTTCTCTCTCCTCCGTGTCCCAGAAACCTGTGCCCACTCAAGCCAACACCTTTCAGTAATATTCCCAAGCAGGTCAAATGTGATTTTTTTTTCCCTTTTCTGTTGCTAATCGTTGTGTAGCGCCAGATATCTCTTTTGGTCTCCAGAGCGGGATAGAATCTCTCATTCCTCCATGCTCCCTCATCATGGCATTTTTTAACTCTGCCATATAAGATGATTAACTTCCAACCAGTCTGGTTCACCGGCTGGTAATTCTCTCAGAAACAGAGGCCATAACGTAGTCACCTGTGGTCATCAGAGCCCGACATAGCCCAGGCACTTGGCAAGCTGCAGGTTCTCATGAAATATCTGCTCCTACTTTCAGAGACAGGCATCAAGAATCATTCCTCTGATATCAGTATTTAGAGCTGATCAAACCTTAGGAAATTTCCTCAGTTTTGACTTTGGTATTTCTAGTTATATGGTAAATATCCACCCCTTGGGACAATATTTTTGTGGTTTTAATTGTGATTACATTTTTACGTGTCACATTTATTTATGATATAGCTGTTGTTAGCACAAGGGCCTATTCGACACTTAAAAAAAATGAAACTCTGAGTTGGCAAGCACTCCTTTCTCTGTTATTTATTTGGTTGATAAAAGAAAGCTAAAATGACTTGCCTTGACTTAAGGCTTCTATAGCTGCTCCCATGGTTCTTGGTCTTATCAGCAGATCAGTCAATCAAACTTATTCAATTAAGTGTAAGTGAGGCAACTGTGAAAGACTAGGGAGAAAAACACAAAATATAAAAGATTCTGATTTTAAATCCTCTCTCAAATGTCTTTTATTTCTCTTAAAAAATATAAAAGATGTGGATATTGCATTTCATGTGTGATTGATACAAGAAAGGTGATGGGGGGCACCTGGGTGGCTCAGGTGGTCGAGTGTCTGAGTCTTGGTTTCAAGTCAGGTTCTGATCTCAGGGTCATGAGATCCATGCTCAGCAGGGAGTCTGCTTGAGATTTTCTCTCTCTCCCTCTCCCTCTGCCCCTCCCCAGGTCATGTGCATTCTTTCTCTCTCTAAAATAAATAAATCTTAAAAAAAAAAAAGGTAGAAAGGTGATGGAGGACTTCAGTCTAGAGACCCAAACTCATGAAAAAGGCCTGGTTCTACATCATAAGATTGGAAAACAGATGTATATTTTTGTTTTAACTTACCCCAAAATATGTAAACATATCTTTCATAGCCCCCCCAATTCACTGCTCTAAAATACTTAATTAATGGACTACCAGTCCTATATGAAAGTGTTTCCCCTGAGTATGAAGAGCCACTGTACACAATTCTGAGGTTCAACTGGATATGATTTTTTCTCCAGCCAATCCTTCCGAAGAACAAGTAGACATTCAGTGACTGGGGGGGGGGGGGGGAGCTCACTTGCAAGTTTATAAGTAAGAAGTGACAAACTAATTATAAAAGTCACCTCATATTTTAAGTGCATGTATTCATTTAAACCTTTTGAAATTTTTCTTAAAATGTTTACCATGTGTACCATTCAGCACACATTGTCTATTTGGAACTTAATGTAATTCAGGAAAGAGTTTGCAGAGAGTTAGGAGCTCCCAGATTGGCTACAAAAATAGACCTCTAGTCAAATTTGCTAATACTTCCCAGAATCAGGCAGGGAGAACTCTATGCTTTCCTTCCTGAGATCACTAAGTGCTACATCTAAAAATGTTATTCATTTTTCACGATGAAATGTATAAATGGAAGCATAGAGTTTGTGAACTTTTTATTAATAACTATTACATCTACCAAAAATATGCATATTAGGTTGGGTCATTTGGTTATTATTTAACTAAAGTTATAGTTCTTGCTCTAAAGAAAAAGTACAGTGGGGCACATGGGGGGCTCGGTGGGTTAGGGCCTGATTCTTGGTTTTGGTTCAGGTGGCGATCTCACAACCTGGAGACCGAACCCCACATCAGGCTCCACGCACAGCAAGGAGCCTGCTTGAGATCCTTTCTCTGCCCCTCCCTCCCTCAAATAGGTAAGTAAGTCAATAGGTAGATAAGCAAATAAATAAATCTTTAAAGAAAGAGCAGGGTGTGGAAGGCGCCCCTAGCAAGAGGGCTCTGAGCGGTCAGGCTGTGGGCGGAAGGCTTCCTGGAGGGGGGGGGCATCGAGCCGCGGCTGCAGGACCAGGAGGGACCCAGTGCGACCCGGCGGGGAGGCGCCAAAGCTGAATGGTCTGTGCGAGTCCAGACTGGGAGGAGCAGGAGGGGGACCGGAGGGGTGGGGACAAGGAGGTGGAGGAGAAGGAGGATCAGAGGTTGATTCCGGGGGGACAGGAGACGGGGCGCAGCAGCGGCTCCCCCGCGGGCACAAGACCGGGCGGCGTCCCCACGCGGCCTGGGGAACCGCGCGCTGTCCTCGCCGGGGAGGAACCCAGCCCAGTCCTACCCTCGGGCCCCAAGTAATCGTGTGTGCGCCACGGACAGACCGACGGACGGCCCGCTGTCGGGGTCCCCGCCCGCCAAGGCCGTCCGACCCGCCCACCTCGCGCGCTCACCCACGCACCCGGCCCCTCCGCACCTGCCCCCCGCGGCACCTCGGCCCCCCCACCGGCCCCGACCCCCGCTCGGCTTCCCGCACCCCCCGCAACCCCCTAGCGCCCCGTACGCATCCCCGCACACCCCCACACCCCCGCCCCTGTCCCCGCACACCCCTGCACCCGTCCCCGCACAGCCCCACACCCCTGCACCCGTCCCCGCACAGCCCCACACACCTGCACCCATCCCCGCACACCCCTGCACCCGTCCCCGTACACCCCCGCGCCCCCTAATACGGCGTTCAGGTCCTTAGTTACACGTGGAGGCCGCCGTTCCTCCGCCGCGGCCGGAGGCTCGGTGGGCGTGAGCCTCCTGAGAAGGGGCGTCCTCCCCGGAGCCAAAGGGAGCCCACGGCGTGCACCGCGGCCTGCGGGGGGGCCGGGGAGGCCTGGGGGCCAGGGGACGGGGGAGGCCCCATGTGGACTCTGCCCGGTGTTTGACGACTGCCATGAAGGTGGTGAGATTTCACCATCTAACTGTATTTATATGACAGAGTGGCTCGAATTTTAACAGAGAACTAGGAACTTTACTGACATGTTGCAGATGAAGTTACTTTGGGACCAAAAAATTTAACTCATGATGGAATATCAAATTTCCTTGAAAGCAAACTTCACAATAATGGATAGACTTGCTGCTATGAAAAAATATTTTTTTTTATCTATGAAGACTAAATTTATATTGGTGAGGTAGCCAACAGAATTTGAAGCAGGTAAGGTTAATAGTGAAATCCATTCTTCAATAAATAAAATACTCTGAACTTCCAGAAGGCCACCATCTGAAGCTTTCAAGACTTTTGGTGATTCACGGAAAAAGCAGCCAACCAAATCCGTATTTGCCAAACACTACCATGACTAGAGTTTAAAATGCCCATTGTAAAGCTATGAAGGTCTTCATTGGGAAACTTTATATCTGGTTCATTATTGCCATTTGTTTTCTTTTCTCAGTGGTTTCGTTGAGAATCAAAAGCAGTAAGGCAGGAATAGCACTTAGAGGCACGAGTGGCGGAAAGAGTGGAACACCCCTTTCCATACACTATTCATTCCTCTTTATGTCAGAAATATTCTTTCAGAGGATTATGCCGTTGTACCTCCCTCAAATGCAAATGATGACTATTGTCAAAAATGTTTTCAGCGCATAAATCTGATTATTCTCATCCTCAAAAAAAAAAAAAGAGGGGGGTTGGGGAGGCCGGGGAGGCCGAGGGGTGTCGGGGAGGCGGGGGGACAGGGGAGCCCGGGGGGGGGGCGAGGAGGTCTGGGGGGGCGGAGGGGACCGGGGAGGCCCAGAGGGGGCGGGGGGGGCGGGGAGGCTGGGGGGGGTCGGGGAGGGCCGGGGAGGCCGGGGGGAGGGGGCGGGGGCCTGGGAGGCGGGGGAGGCGGCTCCTCCCCGAGCGCCGTGACAGGTCCCCGGGGCGCCCGCAGCCACCCCGCGCGAGCCGCAGGTTGAAGGTAATGTGTTAAGAGGTTTTCAAGCTGCTGGGAAATTGGGTTTGACAAGTGCTCTTGAAAACGTTTTGAGGGATCCCTGGGTGGCGCAGCGGTTTAGCGCCTGCCTTTGCAAAGCCCAGGGCGCGACCCTGGAGACCCGGGATCGAATCCCACGTCGGGCTCCCGGTGCATGGAGCCTGCTTCTCCCTCTGCCTATGTCTCTGCCTCTCTCTCTCTCTGTGTGTGTGTGACTATCATAAATAAATAAAAATTAAAAACATTAAAAAAAAAAAAAAGAAAACGTTTTGAAAATGCCAACTCCCTGGCAGCAACCACATTGGGATGGTGGCGGGAGGACTGGACCAGGGGCCGGCACCTGCCTCGCCTCCCGGGCCCCCTGGCTCCCGCCCCCACAGGGCCCTGGGAGGATGTGGTGGCCTTGCTGAAGCTGCACCCAGGCAGTCACACGGGGCGGGGGAACTGAGCTTAGGGACAGCCCGCTGGAGAGTCCTGTCCCATGGGGGGGGGGTGCCCTGGGGCGCAGGTGCGGGTGATGGTAACACGGTCCCAGGAAGCGGGTGAAGGGCAAGGCGCAGCAGGAGCGCGGGCACCGCCCAGCACACAGGCCAGGCCCCCGGGCACGACTGTCCCCACCCGAGGACGCCACCCGAGCGGCAGCCGGAGTCCAGACCTTGCTGATCCTAGGGGATAATACGGTAGCAGAGGGGACCAGGCAAGACCTTGGGAAGTTACAAGGTGCAAATGTCCATCCAGCCCAAATGACCACGACGTCAAAGGTCAAGCTGCTAAAGGAAAGAAGCAGAGGAAGCCGTCGGCCTAAGGGGATGAGGAGGAAGGTCACTCAGGGTGGGGGTCCCGGAGTCAAACCGAGCCCGGGGCGCTTTCCCTGCCCCCTGCTCTTCCGGGGGAACTGCAGCGAGCGCCTTCTTTAAACCGAGCCGGTGGTGGCACCTAGCTCTTCGGGTGCCCTGTACTAAATAAGATGACCCACAAAAAGCACTGAATCCGATGCCCGTCAGATTGTAAGCACTTAAAAAACCCAGCATCTATCATTAGGTTGTGCAGTAAGGGCAGCCTGGCACTGCCACCCTTCCCCCCCCAACCCTAGGCTGCCGCGAGCTCCTGCTTTCACACCTTTGGGATGCACTGAATGCACTCGCAGCCTTCCCATGCATCTGCGTGGATTGCGTACATTCCTTCCTCCCTCTCTTCCTTGATTTTTTTTCCATTTGACTATCATCCTCCAAATCCTCCTCAAGCTAGCTGTCATTTGATATTAAATGTTGATCGGAGAGAAAGTGGCTGCTCCTGATAAACTGGTATTAGCCTAGGATGAACGGTCAAGGCCATCTGCCATGACTGATGAGTCGTCTGGGGTTGAGTCTGGTCCCTGACACTGGGTTCCAAGATAAAATGGAAACACACCAGATCCAGTCTTTTCCTGTCTCTGATTAAGCAGCCTGCAGGAGAAGGTCTCTAAGTGATGGAGGAATATGGGGCCTCTTGCAAGGAGGAAGGAAAGGGAACACAGTCCTTGACACTGCGGTCCTGTTCCAGAAAGACTCCTGCTGTGGAGCCTAGGGGAAACGGCAGTGCGCAGTGCAGTCCGCTTTCTCCCACACCCAAATCTACAAAAATAACGCTCACACTCTTTAATAGAATCTAAGAGAAGTGTCAATTACAAAAATGAAGTATTTAGTAACTGCATAATTATTTAACACATTTCTCCAAATAACTCAAGTTGTTTATAAACAGGCTAAAAAACACCGAGGAGAATATTTCACTCTAATAAAACCCAAGTGCTTTACTGCTAACTTTTCACTCACTCCTCGGATTTGGCCTAGCAGTCTCTAGAATAAATCAATGCTCAGTGCCCTCAGAGGACCTACAGAGTCTTTTACCAAAGTCCTAACCAATGTACCAGGTTCAGACTTCCCGCATCATGAACAGAGTCTCTTAAATCTCCCTTCATCAGCCATCAGAGGAATGGTCACCCACCACCATACTGGCACAAACTGTATTTTCTTTTTTTTTTTTAAGATTTATTTATTTATTTGAAAGAGAGAGGGAGAGAGCATGAACAGGAGAAATGGAGGAAGAGAGAGAGAGAATCTGAAGCCGACTCTGTGCTCAGCACAGTGCCGGACTCAGGGCTTGATCTCATGACCCTGAGATCACAACCTAAGCCAAGACCAAGAGTCGGACACTTACCTGACTGCGCCATCCAGGCGTTCCTGTATTTTCTGAAGAGCAAGTTAAAAAGGAAGGCAGAGAGGGAAGGAATGCGACCAAATACCCAGCTCTGAATCCAGAGCTCATTCGATCAAGATATGTGGAATAATGGCTGGCACTCACCAGATACCAGATACCTTGGTTTTTCTCAGTGGAGAAGTGACAGGGAGTGTGACTATAGGGAGTGTGAGGAAGGGGGTCCCCATCCTAGCAAGCAGGCCAGATGACCTGGAGCTGTTTACCTCTCCAACTTGATCCCTTCCTACCCTCTCTTGCCCAGCCTCCCTCACTATGCCACAACAGACGTAACCTCTGTAGTTACTCTTCTGGCTCACAAATGCCTTTCCCTCTGCTTGCAGCAATCTTGTCCATTTTCTTGTAACATCTGCTTATCCTTTTAATCTGAGTTTAGACATCTCTTCCAACAAGGCTCTTCCCTGACATACCAACTAAGTAGCGTGATGTCCCGTTCACATGTAATTCTCTGGCAAAATATAGGTCTTTTATTTTAGTATCTGTCGTAAGTTTATTTGTTAAGACTTTTGGTTGCAAGATGTGGACATTGGCTTCAGGGACTACAAGCTGAGGTGGCATTTCTTTCATAATCCAGGCCTTAGGGAAGGACAAATTGAATGTTGATAGGATTCTTTCTTCCTCATGTTTTGGCTAATTTCTGCATATCTACTTCCTTCCTACTGGTATCTGTAAAGCAGCTTTCTTTGCTCTCTAGCCATATGGAAGACTATGGCAGGCCATGGCTCTAGCCACATGCAGAAAACTAAATGTTCCTGAATGACAAGCCCAAATTTCTGCCATAACCCTATGGGCCCTATTTAAGTTAGTCATCCAACTGAGGGCCCATTTTAGAGATGAGAACAATGGCTGCAGGATGAACTGTTATCCAAAAAGGTCTAGAATACCATACTTTTTGTGACTGTCTTACTTGTGTGTCTCTATCCTTGATCATCAGTAAACTTTGTAAAGTTTGGTCAATCAACCACGTCTATCTTATTCACAGTTATATCCTCATTGAACTGTGTGCCAAGTATATTACAAATGTCCATTTTGTAATATATTTAAAAAATTGAGACCTGTATAATTCCCACTGTATCAAAGATTTCCTTCTTCTTATCTTCCAAACCTATTCTTGACCCCCCACACACACACTCACACAGGCACACTCTAGCACTACCATCACCACCTACTGTGGATGGTGATATCCTATATTACTTTTATATTTTAACCTCTACAAAATCTTCCCTTCTCCTCCACAAACACTCCCAGAGACTTTACGCTTTGTATGTTTCTCTACCTGGAATAGCAATAAGAAATACAAATTATTTATATCTCACTATGTTGCAGGCATAGTGATAGACATATCACATACTTTTTTTTTGTCTAATCTTATAACACTCAATATTTTGCCCAGCTGAAGCTTGGAAATAGCTGAATAACTTGTTCAAGGTCACAACTAATAAATAATCTTAGTCCATCTGAGTCCAAAATTCAATATCTTTTTTCCTCCTAATCTTTCCACTCATGTAATCTAGTAGACGGAAAGCTCTTCAACTCC